AGCATCAGTTCATATAAGTCTTTCCAGGTTTTTAAATAATGTATTGTAGGATTATGGTTCTTAATCTACTCTGCTATCCACTTCAATTTTATGGGAGAGTTCATCCCATTCACATTTATGGTTATAATTACTATCTGTGTCTTTCTCTCCATCCTATTTTTCCCTGTTTATGCTTTTCTCTCTCCTTTCTCCCTTTCCCTCATCACTAGAGTTTTGCTTTCAACCACCACCTCCCTCAGTCTGCCCTCCCTTCTATCAGCCCCCTCCCTTTTCTTCCCCTTTACCATTACTACTTCTTCCCTTTCTTCTATCCACTCCCTCCTATTTCTTTTCCCTTTCCCCTCCTGCCTCCTATAGGGTAAGTTAGATTTATATACCTAACTGACTATTGAGCCAAATCTGATGAGAGTAAGGTTCAAACAATGCTCAACTTCCTCCCTTCTTTCCCTCTACTGTAATAGGTCTTCGTGCCTTTTCATGTGATGTAATTATCTATTTTCCTTTTTAACTTTTTTTGTCAATAGTTTATTTAATCATTTCAGTTTGGAACAGTTTTAATTGCACACCATGTAATCCTATTTTTGTTCTCCTAATTTGGCATTGATTTGGGTCCTCATTCTAACAAGCCAATGGTCTGATGATTCATAATAGCTCCCACATTGGTAACCAGTTATTTCCTATCTGAAATCATAGACAATTTCATTTTTCATGACACTATTTAGGGCTTCCTATTTCAATGTCTCTGAGTTTTTTTCCTGAATAAAAGACTCAGGGTGTCCCAAACATCTAAAGCTAAGACTCTTGGGACACCTTGTAGAGACATGAAATTTCTGAGTAGCGTATAAGGCTTTGGCATCTTATGTTCATTATTTCTGAGCATATTCTCCAGCATACTTATGACATCTTCCTCTTTACCCATCTTTGCCTTGAAGTCACTGAATATTAAAGTATGTGTTGATTTATTTTGGAAGGCCTTATTCATTTCTTCATACAATTTCCTTTGCTCTTTATCCCCAGCAACAAATGTCACATAAGCTATAATTATCTTCACAGAAATCCTTTTATAAAAGCTCATCATAAGTAATACAATACAAAATGACAAAGCGTCCCGTGAAATGATATTTCATGTTGCAATTGGATGCACAATAAAAACCAACTCTACCGACTCCTTTGTTTGCCTCTCCAAGGAGAGAGAACCTGTGAGCCAGCCTTCTGTTTAGCTATGACTCCCTTTTGTGTTCTGGTTTCATTTATAGCAGAATGCTCATATTAAAATTATTCAGTTTCTCCATTAGAATGTCCTTCTTTGGTCACTGAGCAAAGGTGTCACATTCAGAGTCTCCACAGTTGGGTCTATATCTGTGTATAATTTAACAACAGTGTAGTTCTTACCACCTTCTCCCCCTTCCCCACCTGTCTCTACCCTTCTGCTGCCATCACTACAAAAGCAAAAAAAAAGGGGCAAGATAGGACTAAGGCCTGTGGTTTTTTTTCTTCTGCTTTACAGGTTGCCATGATCAAAAGATTCTTGACCAAGCAGCCAGCCTACCAGTGATCTGCCTCTGGGAAAGGAGCCCATACCTGAAGTTTTCCAATGTGGTAGAATCAGTAGCCTGTATTCTAATAGCTTAGCCTTTGAAAACCCAAAGTCACCTTCATGTCATGATTCAACAATAAAATAGTATTTTATAGAGGATTTAACAAAATATTTATTGAATGCCTACTATGTGCTAGGCATGGGAATTACAATGAGTTAAAATTTTCATGGGCCCACTCTCACAAAGTTCATAATCCATATCTTGTTTCAAAACTCTCTCTTACTCCTTTCATGGTGACCCCACTTCACTATGAACTCCCCATTCAAAAGATGAAGTCTGTTCTTCCTCAGATTTTTTCAACAAAAGTATGTAAGATATCACTTGACACTTAGGTGGGGTGTTTGCCCTTGCTGACAAAGCAAATGATTTGTGACTCTCAGTATATATCTCATCAAATGTTTTTTCTTTCATTGCCCTTCCCACCACGGACTTTCACATCCCAGTCCCAGGACAGTCCCTATCCCACAGTGTACACCACACATATACACCACATACTACATATACACACACACACACACACACACACACACACCCCTTGAAACCCTCCTAAACTCTGGGAGGAATGGACCAAAGAAGAATAAGCAGCCTCTGAACTCCTTTCTAGCCTTGAGATTCCACAACCTCCCTGTATGGGGAGCTCCCCATGCTAATGAAGTCACAGGTCTCATTCCTCTCCCTGTCCCAAACTCTTCCTGTTTCTGCCTCTATCTAACTCTGGCCAGTTTGTTGCAATCACCAAAAAATACTCTAATAAAATATTCCAAAAGTCTTAGAGCACTTTTAAGTTTCAACAGCTTAAGGCTGCACTAAGATATAGGCCACTTTGGTCTCCAAGGCCTTCTGAACATTTTTCTGGAATTCTCCCTCTTCAGTCTCTTGATGCCCTCTTAAAACCAGTGTTGAACTTCAGTTAAGAGGCTGAAATATAAATATAATAATACTAGATCCCATTTATTTAATGCATTAAGCATTGTAAAGCACTTTTCTTCAAACAACGCCATGAGGTATATAGGAGAAGGATTATTTTCCCATTTTGTGGATGAGAAAACTGGGGCCTAGTGAAATTATGTATTCCTGGTCTCATAGCTAGAAGGAAAATTTGAAACCAGGTCTCCTGAAGACACAGATCTCTTTGTACTATTCCACAAATTACTTTCTAGATCTTTATTTGTGTCCCTAGTGATAGATACAGTCCCAGCTCTCTCTGTGTTCCATGCCCCATCCCCTGCTTCCTATTCCTAGTGCCACCACCACCCCAGGCTAGGACCACCTTCTTAGACTGGCACACAGTCTCCTTTGCAGGCTTTTGTGCTTATGGTATATGCCCCCAGTCCAAGCCATCTTCCATACCACTGCCTGAGTTATTTACCTTATGCATGAATTTGGTCATGCTGTTCCACCAGTTAAAGATATTCAATGGTTCTCTGCTGCTTAAGGAGTAAAGGTCAGATTTCTTTGCCTTAAATTCAAGAACCTTCCCAATCTGACAATCCTTCCTTTTTCTTCCAGTTGTTATTACCTTTCCAACCATATCGCATACTATGCCTCTCTCGATGCCCCCAGCTAAACTGATATAATTCTCTTTCCCCATCCCTATGCCTTTGCTTACACTGTTCTTATGCCCAAAAGACCCTTCCTCCCCTTCAATTGTGGAATTTTTACCTGTTCTTTAAAATCCAACTTAAAAGCCACTTTCCCCAAGAATACTTTGATTCCCCAGTCAGCAAAGACCTCTTCCCTGGGACCTCAAATAGCATTCTGTTCCACCCCTATCTCATATACTAGCACTAATAATAGTTAGTGTTTACATAGCACTTTAAAGTTTGTAAATATTATTATATTTTATTCTCACAGCAATTCTGGGAGGTAGGCACTGTTATTCGTCTTCATTTTACGGATGAGGAAACTGAACCAGACTTGCCCAGTGAACTCATCTTCTTAACTCCAAACGCTATCCACTGAACCACCTAGCTGCATCATGTATCCAGGAATCAGAAGACCCAAGCTCCAGTTCTTACTTTGCCACTTAATTAATTGTGTAACCCTGAGGGAATCATTCTTCTCTCTCAGAGCCACAGGTTTCTCAGCTATTAAATGAAGAGACCATTAGAAAGCCTCTAAAGTCCTGTCAAATATCCTAGAATTCTATACTTCTAGGAATCCAACATTCTAGAATTCTGTAATTTGACCTCTGTGTAGATCTGTGGGACATAACACTGGCCTGGAGAAAACGCTTCAATTTCAAGGACAGGGATTGCTGTGACATCTAAAAAAAATCATTAATAATCAGGAAAACTCAAAGATGCCCATCCCAGGTCAATTTGACCCAGGGGGTACATAACTTAAAGATGCAGCCAGATGGACTGAAAACAACGGTGGGTGTTGAAGTGGGCTTATTCAAACACAAGTCTTAGTGTTGGAAAGAGCCCAGGAGGATAAAGAGACTTGCCCATCCTCATGGGAATCAATGATAAAGCCAGCAATCCAGGTCTCCTGTGTCTCTTTAGACCTAGATCTGTGATCCTATGATTCTCACTTCAGTGAGGGCCACTCAGTGTGGCCCTGGCCCCAAAGATTCTTAGCTCTTTTGTGGGTTAAAAGGAAAGAGAAACCAAGTCCTGAGTCCCAGAACTCTCTGTAACCATTGCCTGGCTTCCTGGAGATGGTGTTGGTAATCATATTTGAGATTTTGAGAAACATAGACCAAGCTTTACACTAAGATGCTCTAACTTCTGGAAAATATACAAACCATGTGGACACACTCATACAAGAAGGTGTGTACATATCCATGTCATTATCCTTAAAGGTCAGATCTATCCATAACAAATAACCCAATAACCAGCTGACCCTCCTGTTTCAGGAGCTGTTCAGTTTTACACTACATGTAACAGGAATGAACAGGAAGTCCTGATCTCTTGAACCTCCAATGGATTTGCAAATGAATATTTTGGCTCAATGGGGAGGGATATACTCAGCAGAATATATTGGGAAAGAGTCTTCTGTTCACCCTTATATAAACAAAGGGAAATGGAGTCTCTTATAAATGCAGCAAACTTGAATTGGTCAAGTATGGCAAAACAGGTTGGTAGAATTCCTTTGGGGTTAGGGTCTACCTTAATTAGTCACTATCTTTATGTATGCATCCATTCTCCACCATTGGGAAGGAGGCAGATCTAAGCAGCCTGCATTATTTAGGGAGAGTATCCTACCTTTGAAGTCCTCTCACCCACAGACAGATAATTAGGTTTGAGCTGACTACCAAATGGAGAATTTCTTAACTTGCTCCAGTCCTGGAGTACTTGATAAGCCTGTAAGGCCTTCTATGAATCTTCTTACTCACATATGTGAGTCAAGGTCACTGGTACATTCAAGACCCTTAGCCAACAGACTTGATTCACTACATTGAGTTTATTGGAGATACAGAATGAAACAAAGACAAACATACAAGAAATTGAATTATTGGCTTCCGGGGAACTTTTGGGTACAGACAAGGGAAGGAAATTAGATGGGGTACGAATACCATAGAGTCAACTGAAAACAAAAATACAGCAATGTTTCTCATCTTTCCATTCCAGAGGCAGCAGCCACAATAACATCCTAGACAGGGTGACAACCAAGGATCATCACCTAAAGCTACTAGGAAACCCCCTGCTTCCACATGGGGGTTTCTCCTCCACCCTCCATAGACCTTGGTGTTGGTATAGTAATAGACCCGCCAGAGCCAAATAATCCAGCAGAAGACAGACAGACAGTTGGAAAAGAAGAATGTGAACCCATAGTACAGTGAGATAACTACTAGGAAATAACTGCCTGGAATGAGCAACAGATTCGGAAAAGGAGCCATCCACCCATCCGAGAAATAGATCCGATTGGGTATTATGATCAGGCCATCCAACAGCTACTGAGGTCTGGGTTAAATAAGGCCATCAGGGAGTAGAAGAAGAAGATGGAAATCCCTGAGAAATTTCACGTGGAGGCATAAAATGTGCAAGTTCTCCTGCTCTATTGTTGGAACTGTGGCTGGGCTGGTGGAGAGAGGATGGGGCTGAGGAATGCATTGCTGTCCAAGAGCAGTAGAGAGATGTGGTCAGATTCCAGTGACATTTCTGGGGTGAAGTTTAGTTCTGTTTCCTCCTGACCTCCTAACACCTCTTGGCTCCACAAGAGCTGGCGCCGCAAGAGCGGACACTGTAGCCTGAGCCGACCCCATAGCCTGAGCCACCCCCACAGGGGGCACAGGCATTAGGGGCGCTGACCACCACGCTGCCGCCAGAGGGGCCGCTGCTGCCGGTGCTGACAACACGGGCACCAGAGGTGCCGGTGCAGAGATCGCCACAGACGACGCCACCTCGGCTGCTGCTGACACCTAGAGAGAAGACAGGCAAGAGAGAAACGGGTCAAGCCTGGGCTACATGTACTTTGGTCCACTTCATAGCATCCAGAAAGCAACAACCACCACAAGAGACCCTCTAGCAACCCCAATACGAGCAAAGGGGGAAAGCAGAAATTACTTACAGACATTCACGGCACCAACACCCTCACACAACCTGTGTTGGGGAAGAAAAGGAAGACAGGTCAGTCTAATACCAATAAAGCCCCTCAGTCCACTCAATGAAGGGGAAATAAAACTCAAAGTCATTCAATAGGCACTGAATTTAGAATCAGAAGACCTCTGTTTAAATTCTAGAACTGCTACTTCTAAATGCTGGGGCCCTAACTTCCACATTAGACTGGAAGCTGGCTGAGGCAGAAGCAAAGTCTCTCCCAACTTCCCTTCCCAATGCTCATAGAAAAGAGACGCCCAGTATGGAGAGTTCTACTACTGACTGGCTTGACTGGCTGGCTGAAAGACCCAAGAGGCCCGGACCATACTTGGTTTAAATTTCTCTGCCCCATCTCCTAGTGATTGACCCAGCCAGAGACACTAGAATCATTTAGTCCATTCCCTCGCCTTCTACAAGACTGTATTTTCACCATCACTAAGAGTTATCAATTCCTTTTGTAAAGATCTATCTAGAAGAGAACACAACCTTTGAGTATCTGAAAAGAAAGTTCTTCTTAGTGTCTGGCTGAAACCCTTGCTTCCATTATTGATGCCAATTTGGGGAACTCAAGAAATCAGAGGGCTGTGGACAAGCCAATGAAAGCTTCCCATCAAAGCCCTCAAGTATAAAAGACAATTAAATTGATAGAAATCTGGGGCTGGATTTGCTAGAAAGCTGGGGTCAGACCAATGTGATTGAAGCCTTAGAGCACCTATAGGGACAGAGAGAACCAGAGATAAAGGGTAAAGTGCCAGGGATGGGATACCCACAAAATGCCAGGGCTAGAGGGTTAAATATGAGGTAAGGACAGGCTAAGCACCATTGGTGGGAGTGGAATGGAGATGGAGTAAGTGTCAGGGATGGGAAGCTAAAAGCCTTGAGTGTGCTAACCATCAGGGATAGAGAGGACTAAGTACCACATTAAAGGGGTGGTAGAGTTCTAGGAATAGGAAGGGGTTAAGTGCCAGCAGTGGAGGTGGGGAAGAGATCTGGGAAGGAAGTGAAGGTTATTGATACCAGATTCAAAGGATCAAGGTTCAAGAATTTGACTCTGCTACTTTGCTCAAGAAGCTACAGACAAAGCCCTGCGTTGAGGACCCACACCTACAGTCAATGAGTCCAACTGAAGACCCCCCCTCAAATGCTTATAAGAGGTGGGAAGAGTACTCATAGGACTAAGTTCAAATTACCTGTCCAGTGCAGGATGGGGGGAAGATTGTAAAGGAGAGTCGAGTGATTGTTTCCTCTGCCCTAAGTCGGAATGGTTAGGTACAAAGCAACCTGTGAGACCTGGCTGGATTGGGAAGAAGGAAAGATTGTCCCAGACACCCACCTTTGCTCCTCGCCCTCCAACAGCCGTTTGTAGGTGGCAATCTCAATGTCCAGACCCAGCTTGGAGTTCATGACCTCCTGGTACTCCTTCAGCAGACAAGCCATGTCCTGCTTGGCTTTCTGCAGAGCCTCCTCCAGGCCTGCCAGCTTGCAGCGGGCATCATTGAGGGCAGCCTCACCCTGTTGTTCAGACTGGGTCACAGCAGCCTCCAGCTTGGAGTTCTGAAAGAGGGGACAGGAGCCAGGGAGGAGAAGGCAAGTTAGCAAAGTGTTCTGGAACCATGTTTCCCAAATAAGACCCTTTCCCTGCCTTTGTGCATGATTCTTCCCTCATTGATCCATCTCTCTCTCTCTCTCTCTCTCTCTCTCTCTCTCTCTCACACACACACACACACACACACACACACACACACACAATGTAGACCATATAGAAAGGGGATTCTCTAAGGAAAAATGTTCTATAGCACTCCCTCTATCTTTTGTCTCTTCTGGTTCATTGGGAGTTCCCCTTGGTATACATACTGAATCCCTCTTGCTCTGGAATAACCTGATTCCTTTCTATCCAAATGTGATCTGTACCCGTACCTGGCACTTGGCATTCTCCACCTCGGCGGTCAGCCTCTGGATCATGCGGTTCAGCTCATTGATCTCCTCCTTGGTCCTGCGCAGACTCTCCCCGTGACGGATCACTGTGGCCTTCATCTCTTCACACTGTAAGGGGAAGAAGAGGAAGAGGGAAAGCATGTACTAGAGAAAGACAAAACACTGGGAAAGGCCCTGAAAATGAGTGTCTCCGGATAAAAGGCAAGCCATTCCTAAAGCCCACCCACCAACCTTCCCACTGTAGTTCCAGGTGGGAGAAAAGGGAAGGAATTCAAGCCCACTCACCTTGCTGCGGTACCAAGATTCAGCCTCAGCCCGGCTACGGCTGGCGATGTCATCATACTGAGACTTGATCTCGGCAATGACACAGTCCATGTTGAGGTCTCTGCTGTTGTCCATCTTTACCACCACAGAGGTGTCTGAGATGTGGGCCTGAAGAATGCGGATCTCCTACAAAGTCAGGGGAAGGGGAAAAGAAAGAATGATCAAAAGTTGGTTGAGAATGGAATTCTGTCTCTCTGTATAACTCCTTCCCAAGATTCCATCTTACTTTCAGACATGTCTCATACCTCACTTCAGACACATAGTCCCAGGAAAGCCACACAGAGAGTCAGGAATCATCCAGGGAATTTCCATTTCAATTGATCCCACTTCCTGATTTCTAATCAGACCTACGGATTCCTTGCTTTATCCTGACATATCCAGCAGGCTTGCTCTGATTTCCCAGTTACTTCCACTGTCTTCAGAGCTAGCCCATTCCTTCCTCCCAAACCTCACTGGTCCTGGCTGCCTTCTCCTATCCCTGGCCTTTCCTCTCCCTCATGGGCTATGCATCTCCAGGAGTCCCCTCTCAGCCTCTCACCTCCTCATACAAGGCCCTCAGGAAGTTGATCTCCTCTGTCAGAGCCTCGGCATTGGCCTCCAGGTCAGATTTCCTCAAGTAGGCGCAGTCCACATCCTATTGGGAAATGGAGAAGGAAGACTGAATCCACAGAAATGAAAGCTTAGAAGTTATCTAGTCCTTATTTTATAGTTGAGGAATCCGAGGGTCAAACAGATATCAAGATGCAAAGTGGGACATAAATCTAGGTCTCTTTCTTGGCAAATGTATTTCATTCCCAGTTTCAAAATATGTTCTTTCCCACCTCTAAGATTTCCCATAGGCCATTTCCCAGTCTGGGACAATATCCTCAGGTCTGTTCCTCCTTTTCTTTTGAACCAAGCATTCACCTCCTTAACTCCCTTCCTATCTCCTAAGCCCTGATGTATATGTTATGTCCTACTACTCCTAGTCATGTCTTTGCTGATGGATCTGATTGGGCAAGACCTTTTAGGTTCCATCTCCAAAGTAAAAGAAGAAACTCAGAATAGGAAAAGATGCAGATGTAGAGATGCTTTCTTTGTTCCAAGACTTGGCAGAACCTCCACCCCTTTCCAAAGCAAGAGGTCAATTCATACCCATCCCTTCCTTGGAGCTGGATACCACTCCCTGATCAAACATCACCTCCCAGCTTCTAATCGTGCTGCTCAGTAGCCTGGCTTGCTTTGGAAAGATCATCTTACCTTCTTCTGAAGATAACAGATATCTTACTCTGAAGAAAGCTTTGTGGGTACATATTTCTGGGCATTCTCCCATCTCTCTCAAGTCAAGTCCTATGTTCAGTGTCACTCACCTTCTTCAAAGCAACGAATTCATTCTCAGCTGTGGCTCTCAGGGAGACCTCCTCCTCATACCTGAAATAAATTAAAGGAGAGGGCATCCAGATCAGTGGGAGGAAGACTGCAATCCCTCTGAGGGAAGGGGTGGCATGTAAACTGGGAGAAATCACGTGTATTAGACTGGTATCAAAAAATGGAGACCTAACTCTTGGTTCTCCATATCAACGAAGGGTCCACTAGCAATGCAGAATTTCAAATAATTGATCATTTAAAAGTCATCCTCTTTTTGAACCTGAGACATGTTTTTGTCTTTATATGTGACCATTGGCCATGATGTGGGAATCCACAGCACTTCAGAAAGCTTCCCTGTGTAACTGTCTTGGGAAGAGTTAAAATATGTCCATCTTCCTCAGTTTATCCATGGCTTCATTTCCCTCTTTCTCCATTTTAAATTAGGGAGATGAACAAAATCAGCCTGTGTGGAGTTGCCTTCTGTCTCTGAGCCAGCTGGCTGATTCATGCCTTCCCTGGGCTACAAGGGTAGATAATAAAGCAGTAACAGAAGACTTTTCTTTCTAGTGGCCAATTGATCTATAAGATTCTTTGGGGCAGGAGGATACTCGGGGAAATGAGAGCTGACTAGAGTAGTGATGTCAAAAGAAGAAGTGATTGAAAGCAAATCCAAGATGGAGAAGTGATAAATATCCAGAAGGCCCTTCTTTCCTCCCTTTCTAGTGCCCAAACTGAGGGAGTTCTAACACCCTTGCTTCCCCCATTACCAAGTGCATTCATTGTATCCATACCCCATGTACCTGAATCTCCTTTCTGTTGAAAGTCTCCCTGTCTTTATGTCCCTGTCCCTAAGAACTTTTACTATTGAGAAGTTCTTTAATGGAAGCTTATTTCCTTTCTTTTGCTAAACACTTACTTCTTCTTGTAGCCCTCCAGCACTTCCTGCACGTGGTTGAGCTCAGAAGCCAGGCGACCACTGTCAGCCTCCACACACTCCAGCTCCCGCTTCAGGGTCTCAATGTAGCCCTGGAACAGGGGCTCCAAGTTGCTCTCGCAGCATTTCCGGTTCTGGTAGAATTGCCACTTGGTCTCCAGAAGCTTGTTCTGCTGCTCCAGGAAGCGGACCTACAGCCCAGGGAGGGAGGTGAGTGGTCAGGGTAGTTTCTGGTTATTCTCATATTCCATGGAGGGTGTTTCAGAGAAAGTTCAGCCAGGAACTCAATAGGGGAAAATGAGGAAATATCTTGGGGAGGGGAGGGCATGAGAAGGAAGGGGAAGGGAAGGGAAGGAAGGGAGGAGGGAAGAAGGAGGGAAGGCAGGGAAGGGAAGAAGACAACCAATAGAAGACTGCTCCTATGAACATATGTCCTGTCAACTGGTCCTATGAACATGTGTCCTGTCCAGATGAGAAGGCAACTAATAAAAAACCAAATCCCTGAATGTTTTCACCCAGCATGGTAGGCAAAGCTCTGGATTTTGTAATTCCAAGGATGGCTAGTGGGAAATATCATGCTTTTCTAGTCCAGAAAGTATCTAATTATTGAACCTTTGGATTTTCCAACACAGAGAGGACCCAAGAATAGGAGAGGGGAGAATATAAAATCTAGAGCCAGAAGGCACTTTCAATTTTAGTACAACCTTCTCACTTTGTAGATGAGAAAACTGGGATTCGCAAATAGAAATATCTGGTTCTCTGAGTCTCAGTGAGAAGACTGCTCTAGTCCAAAGGCCTCAGCTTTCTCATTCTAAAGGCAGGAGAAGGTAAGCTCCTAGTCTCAGATGGGACTCCCTGGTCCCCCTATGCTTACCCTGCAAAGGACAGATTGTAGGCAAATGGGAAAAGCTTTGAGGAAGGTGGGACTTCTAGGGATACCTGTGCTGATTGGGATCTCCTGGGGCAGTACAGAAAGGGAAGCTAGCTGGTAATCCTTGCCCCCTTTTGTCATGGCTCAGAAACAGCCCCATCCTACACCAGATTCCAAGACTTCTCCCTCTGTCTGCATTCTTCCCCCTCTGTCTGCATTCTTCCCCCTGCCTCCCCCAGGGCATTCCCCACAGAGCAGAGCTCAGTTCTCCTATCACCGACCTTGTCAATGAAGGCGGCAAATTTGCTGTTGAGACACTTGATCTGTTCCTTCTCCTCATGCTTCACGCACTGAGCATTGGGGTCAATCTCCAGGTTGAGGGGGGTCAGGAGGCTCTCGTTGACAGACACGGTGGTGATGCAGGGGGGGCTGGGTCCGCACACTCCGCCAGAGCGGTAGCCAAGCTCCGGCCGCAGGAGCCAGCCCTGTAGCCTCCACAGTAGCTGCGGCTGCCAAAGCCAGTCAGTCCCCTGTAGCAGGACACTCCTCGGTAGGGAGCAGCGCTGATGCAGCAGCGGCCAGGTCGGGGCCCACAGGCTGAGGCACAGCTGAAAGCTCTCACAGAGCCTCCACAGTAAGATCCACAAGTCATGCTGATGCTTCTAGGCACGGTTGTCTAATGAGAAGGAGAGGAATTGTCAACAAGATGTCAGCCTGTGGGTGCCGTGGTCCTTTTATACCTGTGGAAGCCAGGCTTGGCCCCCGTCACTGGGTCAAGAGCAATTAACAGCCTTTATGGGCTTGGGGCATTTTGCTGCTTCAGCTCCTCCCTTAATTTGTTTAATTGGGGGCCAGATGCAGCACAAATGTTTATGAACCTTCACCCCAAAATGCCCGCTTTTCATCTTCAAAGACCCAAACACCATCCCCTCCCATTATGCAGGTGTGGAAACTGGGAGATTGGAGTGACTCAGGCCAGGGGACTGAGGCAGGGCCAGTAAGTGTGACTGGGGTTTCTTCTTTCCTTCCTCCCTTCTCTTCCCTTCCTGGATCCAGAGCTCCAAGCTCTGAGGACAGGGGTCCCCTCTCCTAGAAATGTTTTCTGTGCTAAGCTGGGGGATCAGGGGTGAGGGGGAGAATCTTGAATCAGACATTATTTGGGGGAACAGGAGAGGATGTTAGACCTTTTTTCATGGTTCTCTGTGACGGCTCCTTCAGCAACATATAGGCATTACATGTACACAAATGCATATGCCAGCACACTACCTTCCATGCCCACTCCCACATAAGATCATGTACAATACACACACAAAGCAAATTTATAAATTGCCTATACTCCTATGAATACACACACACACACACACACACAACTACAGGATTTAAAGCTAGAAGGGACCCTGGAAATCCTCTAAACCCCTCATTTTTTTCAGATGAGGAAACCAAAATCCAAAGAAGTAAAATGGCCCGCCCAATGTCACCCAGGTACTACAACACAGAACTGGTAACTGAACCAGGGTCTTCTGACTCTAAGTCTTTCTGCTGCACCAAATACTTCCTGCTCCCCAAAGTTTTCAAATGAGACTCTCCCTCCAAAAAATGTAAAATCAGACCCTGTTCAAGAGTTCTAGTAGTAAAGAGTTCTCCAGAGACTGGACAGTTCTGTCTTTCAGCTCCTCCTAAGAACCTAAAGACCAATAGCCCCAATAGTCCACTGACCAATAGTCAGTGTCCCTTCCAAACTATCTCCCAGGTGTAGCTGCACTGTCCTACAGAGCAGAGGGGGAATTTCGAAGTGTCCCAGCTGGAGGATCCTGTAGACAATCAAACCATAGAACCCCATTCTTTGATCTGCTCCTACCTCCCCCCCACAACCACCCCCTTTTGGTGACACGGCTGCTCCTTTGTTGTTTTAAAGCCCCTCTAGGCATGGAAGCAGCGTGGAGTCTAGGATCATGGACTTAGAGCCTGAAGGCACCTTAGAAGTTACAGGATTCTACCTCCCTTTGCCTTACAGTATAGGGGAAAGAACACTAGGACTCCTCCAAACCTCCAAGTTAAATTTTGAGTGTGACTATTTACACCTCAGAAATTAGCATAGGCTTTAGATGAGTTATTTGACCTATTGTTTTGTTGATTGTCCAGCCTTAAGAAAGTGATGGAGAAAATGTTAATAATGCCAATTTAAGCTTTTGGAAAGTTAGTTGTTAAATATTCACCAGCACCCCCTGGATTAGATAATCTTTAAACTTCTCTCTAACTCAAAATCCTGTAATCTATGAACTGGCCTCTCTCTCCACCTCTTCTCCAAACTCTCCTTCCATCCTTTGTTTTCCATCAGCACCTAAAATGGCTGTTATTCCTATATAGAAAGTGTCCCCCCAAAACCCTGACTATCTAAATCCTCCTTTAGATACTCTAGCCTCTTCTCCAGAAAGCCTTCCCTAGAGGTAATTGTTCCTAAATGATAATCAACCAATCTACAAATATTTGCTAAAGTTCCAGGAACTCTAGGGTTACAGATGCAAAAGCAAAACAGTACCTGCCTTCAAGAAGCTTAAATTCTACTGGGAAGATTCAACATGTTCACAGATAAGCAAATGCTGGATATAGATAGATGGAGGTGGGGGGGGAGGAGGACAGTGAGAGAAAGAAAGAAAGAAAGAAAGAAAGAAAGAAAGAAAGAAAGAAAGAAAGAAAGAAAGAAAGAAAGAAAGAAAGGAAGGAAGGAAGGAAGGAAGGAAGGAAGGAAGGAAGGAAGGAAGGAAGGAAGGAAGGAAGGAAGGAAGAAAGGAAGGAAGAAAGAAAGGAAGAAAGAAAGGAAGAAAGAAAGAAAGAGAAAGGAAGGAAGGAAGAAAGAGGAAGGAAGGAAGGAAGGAAGAAGGAAGGAAGGAAGGAAGGAAGGAAGGAAGGAAGGAAGGAAGGAAAGAAGTGGAAAAAGGGAGAGAAATGAAGGAGAGAGAGAATAAACATAAAGTGATGAGGGGGGACAACAGTGACAACTGGGGGAATCAGGAAAGGACTCTTGAAACAGCTAACACTTGAGTTGATACTCAAATGGAGGTAGCGATTCCAATGGGAGATCATTTCATGTATGGAAACAGCCTATTCAGAGTCACAGATTGGGAGATGGAATGTCATGTATGAAAAATAGCCAGCAGTCCATTTTGGCTTGACTATTAGGTGTATGAAGGGGGATTGATATGTAAGCATAATACCAAGATAGACTAGAGCCAGATTGTGAAAGGCTTTAAATGACAAAGAATTTTGTATTTTATTCTAATGGCAGTAGGGAGCCACTGAAGCTTCTTGAGCAGGGGAGCTATGAGGTCATGCCTGTACTATAAGAAAATCACTTTGGTATCTGTACAGAGGATAGATGAGAAAGAACAGAGGCTGGATATGGGGAGACCAATTAAGAGGTCACTGTAATAATTTAGGCTAGAGATGATGAGACTTAACTAACTTAGAGTATGAGTGGAAAGGAGAGGACAGATTCAAAAGATATTATGAAGGAAGGATTGATGAGACTTGACAACTAATGAGATATGGAAGCAGAGAAATTCAAGAGCTGAAAATGACCCATAGGTTATAAGGCTAGGTGACTTGAAGAATGGTGGTAATAGATGGAAATGATGGGTTTAGGGGGGACTTAAGTTTTGTTTTAGACATGTTGGTTTTGAGATTCTGATAGAACATCAAAGGAAATATGTCTAGCAGGCAGCTCAGGAGAAGGATTGGTACATTTAGGAGTCATCTGCATAAAGATGATAGTTAAATCCATGGTAGTTAATGAGATCACCAAGAGAAAGAAAAATTGGAGTGGAAAAAAAGAGAGTCCTAGAAAGAGCCATTGGCTCACAATTACATGGTGGGACATCGATAATAATCTTGTAAACTAAAAGGGACTGTCCAGAAAGGAAAAGAACCATGCCAGAGTAGTGTCATGAAAACCCAAGCATATCAAGAAGGATTGAGTGGTTGATAGTGACATACTCCACATAGATGTCAAGAAAAATGGGAAGTTTAAAAAAAAAAGGCCACTAGGTTTAACAATAAAGAGATTGACATTGGAGAAAGCAATTGTAGTTGAATGCTGGGAACAGAAACTATGTCAAGGGGTTAAGCAGTGAGTGTGATGTGAGAAAGGGAAGACATCAAATGTAGACCCCTTTGCCTAGTTTGGCTATGAAAGGAAGGGGAGGGAGAGAGATAGCTAACGCACTGAATGACAGAGTCCGGATCCAAAAAATCTTGACAGGCAAGAGCATTGAGCTCAGTCCAATAAGATGAAATATGATAGGGATAAATGCAAAATCTTACACTTAGGTTCAAAAACAACTTCACAAGCACCAAATGGGAGAGATGTGGCTAGACAAGTTATTTGTCTGAAAAAAAATACAGAAGTTTTAGTGGGCTGGAAGCTCAGCATGAATTAGCAATATGATGTAGCAGCTGAAAAAGTTCATGTGATCTTGGGATGTATTGAGAGGCATGGCCCCAGGGATAAAGAGGTGGTGGCTCTTGTAGGGGGAAGAAAAGGACATCCTGTCACTGGATATGCACTCTCTCCTCCAACTTATAATGCTTTGTTTCCTTCAAGACTCAATTCAATCCCACCTTCTACATAAAACATTTCTGAGCCCCACTCTACCCCCAGCTCCCAGAGCTTTCCTTCCCAAAATAACCTTGTAATTACTTTGCATATTTTCTGTATACACAAATTTCTGTATGTGCTTAGAATCTAAGTTCCTTCTGAATGCATTGTTTCATTTTTGTCTCTATATTTCCAGCAAGTAGAATGATGCCTGGCACATAGCATGTCATTAATATATGCTTATTGCTTTATTAATTGATAGCTTGATGAGATGGTAAGCCCAAGCAAAGATTATTTTAAGAACAGGGGAGATTTGAACATGTTTATAGACAGCAGGGAAGATGCCAATTGATAACAGTCTGCAGATGAGGCAGAGAGAGGTTTCCACCAACCCCTTTTTATTCAGGTTCACAATACCCTGGACAAGTCCCTTATGCTGACCCTGCTCTTACACAGCCTTACAGGGTGTCTTCACCACCCTTCTCTCCAGTTCCCATTTTCTTCTCGGTCAAACACCAGTTGAATGCAATTATATTTTTGTTACTCTGGTTCCAACAAGGCTGGAATTTTGAGGAGCACAGTTTTTGCCAGAACAGGCCATTGTACCATAAGCCAGTCCAACTGGCCTCTGTATATAACATCTAGTTCTCTGTGTATAACATCTCATCTCTGACCTCCATGACTCTGCACAGGCTGAACCCCATGTCTAGAATGCTCTTCCTCCTTACTTATTCCTCCAAGAACCCCCAGGTCAATTCTAGGCTCAGTTCGGGTGCTATCCCCAACAAAAGGCAACAATTCCCACAGTTGTGAGTGCTTCTCCCTTCTTCTTCAAATTATTTTATTTTTATTTTTTGTGTGTATTTATAATAACTTTTCTGAATAGGGATTGTTTCCCCTCAGCAGAATATAATCTCCTTGATGATAGAGACTTTTGTATGTTTCCTCTTAGTCTAGCACAATGCTGGGCACATAGTGGTGATCTAATAAATGTTTGTTGAATTGAATGACCCCATACCACCTCTACAAAGGGCTAATCCCTCTTTTTCCTGCTGCCCCCCCAAAAAAAAAACAATCCTGGG